ATATACTTTATATGTATGTAACCACACTGCTAATTAGTTCCCTGAGAATGATAGATTGCTATCGAAGTTGTCGTAATACTTAAGGCTTCATACGATTTATATGCGTCTTTCCCAAATCATCAGAACATTCTAACAACTAATCAAATTGCACGATGAGAAATAATGGATTTCTAGGACGATTAGGGGACTTAGGAAAAGTAATAATTCTGACAGATCTGCTAATTTTTTAGCCAAATTTATAAATTGATTTGAAAATTATGATAAATATTCTACATTTATATTTTTATAAATTCAAGAGATTTTTATGATAACATTTATGGATATATCATACATTTTATAAATGGTAATCATCGTAATTTCTTTCCAGCATGGTAACCATAATGACCTGATATAAATCGTTCGCGCTTGAAATGAAGGACCATAAATCAATCACGGAAAGCAGATTAATTGACACCTACAAACGTAAAGTTCTTAGTTGTGTGTGTCAGTATTTAATGTCCACTAGCTAAACCAATTAGGATAGAGGTTGAGAACCAAATCCTTCCCACTGCACCAACCTGAATCGCAGGCATCCAGATAAAGCTTGTAACACAACCTTGATTTGTGTTTGCAATCGCCCCAGGGAAGACAAGCTAATTTCAGCGTAATTTGTTGAAAAATTAAATAAACAACGGAATAAAGACGAATCAAGGAATAACGTAAACAGAATTTTAAGTACACAAAAATAACGTATTGTAATTGTTGTTTGGCTTCATTAATTTATATGCGCATGCCTTGACAGCGAAAGGTCGCAGGTTCGAATCCCATCAGAGGAATTTTTATTACACAATTTCTTTATTCGTTTATTTACAGGACTACATTCGTTGAGAGCTATGCTTCACAGTGTATTATTATGTCCTTTATTCAAACACTGTATTTACCTTTCTTTGATGATTTATATATCATTTCACAGTGTTAACGGCTTTCCTAATTTATATATATATATGATATATATAATGATATATATTACACAATTTCCTTATTTATTTATAGGACAACATTCGTTCAGAGCCATGCTACGATGTATTTATGTCCTTCATTCGAACACTGTATACGTCGTATGTTTTAACATTATTAGCCTTCTCTTCTGTCACATATCCATTTTACAAATCATGAATGCATTTACTTAATATTCCTTTCCACGCATTCAAAAGTTAACACATTAATCCTTTAATTTTTGTTCTGTTTTATTTGGACTTGCACACTTTCACATTGTATCTTATCAAACAATATGTTACCCCTTTATAGAGGGCGTTTCAAAGCCTTATTAGGAATGATTGGTTAATTTATTAAAAATATTCAGTCACTGCTTGCAAACGTTAGTGTAGAGATTATGTAGAGTTGTCTATTTTACTTGACTTGGCCTATACTTTACTATGTAAACGTCGTTCGTATGTTTGCTGTTATTGCCTTTTCAAACATAAACATTGATTTGACTTTTTGCCAAGACCGCCTGTGTATATAAACAGACGAATAAGTAAATATAGGTCTACCTGAAACGATACACACGTTAAGCAGCATTCACGCGGAATCCGAATTTTCGGATTGGAAGGATTACGAACCAATCAGAAAATCGAATCAGTAAAGCCTGGTTTCCATAAAAATCGCTACACGCTATCGCAGACTTCTTTGGCGACGCTGATTGGTCATTGAATCAGGGAGCGTTCCTGATTGCGTCGGGGATAGCTACGCCTGTCTCTTATACACATCTCACTTGTTGTCCAAAAATCGCACGTGTTTATACGCTATTGTTTAGTGAGACCTGCAACAATATGAGCGTGTGGCGGCGCAGCGTGTAAGGTGTTGGATTTCTGATCGTGAGAGCGGGAGTCCGAGACCAGCGCCCGTCGCACTGCTTGTCATTTACAAGGCACTTTACTTACATTTGCCTCTCTCCACCGAGGAGTATAAATGGGTGCCTGGTAGGATGATGTGGAATTGTCTTTATCGGCATTACATTGCACGCACGACTAGGAATACTCCCCAGGGAGTGGAGGAAGTTGCACTTTGTGCTCGTTTGATTATGGAACGATCACCAGGGGTAATAATAAAAACATAGCCAGCGCCTTGTATCCCTTGGCACTGTAACTAACTAGGCTATAACATGTATAATCCACACTATAATATATATTATCTGTCTCTTATACACATCTAGATATGTATAATGTATATACATTATCTAGTAAGTACATAGGCCTATCACGGGATGTGACTTTTAACCAATGCTTATCCACGTATAATAGGACATCTACACTTAAGAGTGTTAGTTGTTTACTTTAGAGACAAACTAATCAGGAAAAGGTATCTAATTGACTTTACGAGTTCGAAATAGGATCATGATTAAATTATTAGAGGGTCGGACAGTAATCCTTATAGAAATTAATATTATAACATATTCGAATCTTCACAGTGCTAGGCCTGTCTTGTCAAACAAAATTGAATTTCAAGGGGTCGACTAACGCGTAAAAACCCACTGTAAATGTTTCTGTTGAAGTTCTATATTTGTATGGATATTCCATGAGTAATTGATATTTTGAAATTATTAATAATGGATGCTCCTTTAATAATAATCTGCGATTCCATCTTAACCGCGTCGGATTACTTTTCAAGTACGCACTTGTTTAATGTTAAGATTGCTCTCAAACGTCCAAGTTTTATCTCACGTAATGTAATTTTGTAGAAGATGACAAACAATAAATTGGAAATTTAGACGCTGCTGCATTAATTTAAAGTTTGACGAACTTGCTATACGGTATGGCAGTAAGCACGTGTTGGATGGAATTAACTTGGATGTCAGGTACGATAATGATTATAGAGTTTGTAGAGCGTTAATTATGTTTATTGTTCGTGCTTTAAAAAGGTGAGATCTGATAGAATGTTCTAGGCTCTGATACGAATTAGGCCTATGTTCAAGATTTTAGATATGACGCTAAAAGGGAATTTTTGCCAAAAGTTTGTGTAAATATCTGAGATAGAAATTAAAATATTGTTCCTGTTATAACTTTTCATTCATCCGTCCTAAGATGTTGAGATAGAATCAAAAAGCTTCAATAAGCTTTTCTATTAAATATAGGCTCACCAGAGACCCTTTCTGTTCCTATAGGTGTATTCCTTTGAGATCTTAACTAGTAGGCCTAATCAATTTAAAGATGTTAGTATTAAAAAGTCTGTAAACTGAGAATGGACCTTTTTTTCAGACTGTAATTAAAGTTAATCGACCATTTAGAACCACTGACTCTACTATAGGCCTAATAGCTGGATTGCTCATTGGCTGAGTTTGGTGAGGCCGCCGACGCCACTGTGTTGGAGGCCCTGAGTGACGTATCAGTTTAGACAGGTTTCTTTTGGCATTTGTTTAAGTATTATTGTTAAAAATAACGATTTTTACAGAACATTTTAATAATAAATTTGAATTTAACGTAATGATTATTTTTCAAATCATCTAACCTTGACGTGGCTTTTCATGCAGTTTAAAAAAGTGCAAGCAAAGTTATTTGCGTTGTTAGGATCGGACGTCACTATAACAACGCGACTTCCCTCGCGTTTTTCTAAACAGTCGCATCTAATGGTTAGATATTTTGAAAAAAAAAATCAATTTATTATTGAAAAGTATTGCAAGAATCGTTATTTTTAACTATAATTTAAATGAATGCCAAATAGAAACTGGTACGTCACTTAGGCCCTCCAACATGGCGTCGGAGGCCTCACTTTTTTTCTGTACAAGGATTGGCCAATGAGCAATCCAGTTATTATAGATACACTTGTTGTCCAAAAATCGCACGTGTTTATACGCTATTGTTTAGTGAGACCTGCAACAATATGAGCGTGTGGCGGCGCAGCGTGTAAGGTGTTGGATTTCTGATCGTGAGAGCGGGAGTCCGAGACCAGCGCCCGTCGCACTGCCTGTGTCATTTACCAGGCACTTTACTTACATTTGCCTCTCTCCACCGAGGAGTATAAATGGGTGCCTGGTAGGATGATGTGGAATTGCAAGTATTAGTCTTTATCGGCATTACATTGCACGCACGACTAGGAATACTCCCCAGGGAGTGGAGGAAGTTGCACTTTGTGCTCGTTTGATTATGGAACGATCACCAGGGGTAATAATAAAAACATAGCCAGCGCCTTGTATCCCTTGGCACTGTAACTAACTAGGCTATAACATGTATAATCCACACTATAATATATATTATAGTTTCGTTTAGAATAAGCAACCTCCTCTTTTATACCCACAATTAAATTCTCCATACACACCAACAAATGATACTAAACAAAACTAATGAATACAACATTATTATCAAAACATTAGGCCTATATCATTAACGTTCAACTGTTGAGAACTTAATGACTGCATGGAATCTATACAAAACCTTCATTATCATACAAAGGCTTGTGTGTCAAACAACAGGCGTAATTTATCTTCTTTCACGAATGAGAATATCTTAATGAATCTTTGCGGTTATTTTCTGAGAATCATACCTATTTAAAGATAATATATGATATGTGGCAAAGACAAGCCAAACCAGTCACTCGTCGCAAAAATCAAGAAGTTAATAAAGTATTAAACAGTAAAATGAAAGCTATAAAATGGTAAAAGAATCATTTAAATCCGACATTTCGTTATGAAGTTTAAGAAGTTTATATATCAGCTGTTTAAAGAACCGTCCAATATTTAAAGTTTATGATTTCGGGCATTTCTCAGACAGAAACCATCACCAAATCGTTAAAAAATGTTCGTTGAACATTGAAAATGGGAAAAATAACAGCATACATGATATAGAGATATATAAAGGTTAGTATAGTGCAATAAAATAGATTTTAACAATTTTGACATTCCAGCATGTTTTGGTCATTATTTATTGAAACAGGATTTGCGAGGAGCGTCTGGGTTTGGCTTGTCATTTGCCACATATATAAACAGCAGGAACCCCTGAATAAGCGTGGTCTATCTTTTCCACAAACCTATGCACCAACCGGTACTTTGTGTTAGAAGATCCAAGAAATCAAGATGCGATCTATGCAGGCATAACCTAGTTTGGTAAATAAATTATAGTATGATGGAACCATTTGTAAAAGAATTTTACACATGTTCTTAGCATTTAATTTTATTTTATATACCATAAGAGGCATCTACTCAAAATTCCTTGCATATTATGTAATAAATATTTTCCTTTAAATCATGATTAATCCCAACAGTTTTACGGTTTAATGTTTTATTGCTACAAGCAAATTTGGAGTATACATACGTGAAACAATCCGCATCATGTTGACGATTCATTCAATTTTGGATATCATAAAAGTCTGCTTATTGGTTTATAATTTCTGGCAATTGTGACTGTAGATAATTAAATCATGCTTTAAAGCGACTGCCTTGGTCTAATGGGTATGATACTCATCTCGATAGGGAGAGGTTGTCGGTTTGAATCCCACAAGAGACACTTTTTCATGATGAGCTATGCATGTTACGATTATTGCATGTTACTATAAAATTCCATAAAATGGAACAAAACTTGTGCTTGGTGGACAAACGTATGGTCTTGTTAACATAAGGTTCGCTATTTTATGCCTTATTTTAACATTAACCCAAACTTCTATTCAATCGATTGCAATACAGTAGGTTCATTTGTCCAGAATTATATATGCGAATTTGCAATTTAGAATTGAACGTGTGTATACTATATAATTAAATTACAGAGCATGCTATAATTTCTCTCATCGGCAAAATCCGGTGTCGTGTTGTGTTCAAAAACTGGTCCGAAATTTAAAGAACAATGAACCAGTTCTATCACAACGTCGTATGTCTTAACATTATTAGCCTTCTCTTCTGTCACATATCCATTTTACAAATCATGAATGCATTTACTTAATATTCCTTTCCACGCATTCAAAAGTTAACACATTAATCCTTTAATTTTTGTTCTGTTTTATTTGGACTTGCACACTTTCACATTGTATCTTATCAAACAATATGTTACCCCTTTATAGAGGGCGTTTCAAAGCCTTATTAGGAATGATTGGTTAATTTATTAAAAATATTCAGTCACTGCTTGCAAACGTTAGTGTAGAGATTATGTAGAGTTGTCTATTTTACTTGACTTGGCCTATACTTTACTATGTAAACGTCGTTCGTATGTTTGCTGTTATTGCCTTTTCAAACATAAACATTGATTTGACTTTTTGCCAAGACCGCCTGTGTATATAAACAGACGAATAAGTAAATATAGGTCTACCTGAAACGATACACACGTTAAGCAGCATTCACGCGGAATCCGAATTTTCGGATTGGAAGGATTACGAACCAATCAGAAAATCGAATCAGTAAAGCCTGGTTTCCATAAAAATCGCTACACGCTATCGCAGACTTCTTTGGCGACGCTGATTGGTCATTGAATCAGGGAGCGTTCCTGATTGCGTCGGGGATAGCTACGCAGTGCAAGATTGCAGTGAAAACGCTCTGTAGCGACTGTGTAGCGATTCTCGGTTTCCATACAATCGCTACACTGTCGATACCGTATTTTCAGTTGTATTGCGTAGCAGTCCCCGACGCAATTGGGAGGGCTCCCCGATTCGACCGTCCAATCAGCATCACCGAAAGCTGTCAGTAATAGCGTGTAGCGATTGTATGGAAACCAAGCTTTAATAGTGACGCTGGCGTTCAGCGCATCGGAAGCGCGGTCCGAATTTCGGTTCGGATCCGTTGTGAATGTGGCTTTATTCCTCCTATAGGCCTGTGTTAGGCATATTGTTAAAAAATAAAATGAAAAATTAATAAAATAAATAAATAATAAACACATGTAAGCAAATAGTAATAATGCCTTGTCATGCTATCATATAATCATTGTAATGTTAAGCGCTTTGGGGCTATTTTAATGTGTAAGACGATTTATAAATCAAAATTATTATCATAGAGAGACACTCATCAATTAGTTATTAAGCAGGCTCTTGATACATACAGTTCAGTGGCGAGTCTATTTCGCTACAGTATTAGATAAGAATGCAATTAAAAAACTTGATACAGTACGGTAGGCTTTGAAATACTACAACCATATTCAAGATCATTTGAAGGTAGCCTGTCCGTGTGAGTGAAAATTTAAAAACGTTCAAATGTATATTCACAATAATTGGACAAGATATCATCTTTCAACAAAACACAGATCAGTCAATTCGGTTTTCGCTGATTTACTACCAAAATCCATAAAATTAGTGGAAGTTTAGCAACAGTATGTAGGCCTGTCTCTTATACACATCTAGATGTGTATAAGAGACAGGATCGGACGTCACTATAACAACGCGACTTCCCTCGCGTTTTTCTAAACAATCGCATCTAATGGTTAGATATTTTGAAAAATTGAAGCCCTGTCCAGACTATAACATTTTATTTGACAAAAACATGTGACATGCCTAAATATGGTCATGATGACATCACATCATGACCATATATAGGCACATCATGACTAAAAATGACCATAGAACAATTATTTTTCAAAGAAGTTTTGATAACTTGGACAGAGCTTTGGTTTACCTGCTCAACACAATTTTAATGATATTAATCCTAGATGGGAATAATTCTAAATAATCATAATATTTTAATATGTGTCAGTACATAGATCAGAATGTTAAAACGAAAATGCCATAAACATCATAACCTACTAAAAGCCGACCATAGACACTAACTAAACTTTAAAAACATAAATCAATTGGAATGTACTGTAATTCATTATTTTTGTAAGTGGATTGACATCTTGATGAATAGTATAAATGTGAATTTATGTCTTTTAAATATGACACCCTCAAAATGCCCGGTTCTTGATCGATTAGATTTATCGCCCATGCGCAGATGTGGAATAAAAGAGAACACATTCACACATTGATACAATGTTGAGACGGTTACGATTATTAATAATAACAATTGACATGTAACACTATAGCGTAATTAATAATAGGCCTAATAACAATAATAATGATTATTATAATAATAATAATGATATACGATGATAACAATGAAGATAACAATGATAATGATAATGAACAGAGATTTATATGGATTTATCAAAGGTGTTAGGAAATAAGGAAATTTGACAACATTCCTGAAATAAATAAGTCTTTAGATTTTTCTAAAAAGTGAATGAATTTAGGCGAATCGAATACTGAAAGAGACAAAGGATATGTAGAAAGGGCTTGATAAGAAAAGGCACGTTGCCCATAGTTATTGTTTTTCCTCTGAGACGGAACTCTCGAGAGATTTTAAGATAATTAAGGAAAAAGATGGCGAAGAGGAGTGAGTGGGTTTAAGTGATTTAATGAATTGGCATGTTGATGAAAGCTAAAGCCCTGTTCACACTACTAAATTTTATTTGACTAAATGTGACATGCCTAAATACGGTCATGATGACATCACATCATGACCATGTATAGGCACATTTCAAAGATAATTTGATAGTGTGGACAGAGCTTAAGTCATTAAGAAATGTTCTCACACGGCAGCTAACGGTTGGCAGGATCCGGATCCTGCTAACCGTTAGCTGCCGTGCGTCCATACGAGAAAATCCCGATCCGGATACCAAGAATATGATGATCGAATCACTGGCTAATAGAAACTGGAAAATGTAAACGCGTACGTGTGATTGGTTGATGATAAAAACGCGCTCAACTTGTTAACCGATAGCGCTTGCTAACCGTTAGCGGTATCCGGATACCGCTAAAGGCCAACTCAGACAGCGTCGGCCGACGCAGCCCGACCCGATTTATCGTCGGGGACAGTCTTAAGCCGTCGTGAGAAATATTAAACATGTTTAATACTCTACGACGCGACTGCCCCCGACGCACACCATCGCGTCTGCGTTTAACTCACACAGACCCGACGCGACAACAAATCGCGTCGGGCTACGTCGGCCGACGATGTCTGAGTTGGCCTTAACAGTTAGCGCTAATCGATCGGGCGTTCTCACGCAGGTGCTAACGGTTAGCTCCCGATCCGGATGCTAGGGCTCTTGTGAGAACCAGGCTTTAAATAGAACGTTGCTAAGAAATCCCAGTGTAGATTCTTTATAGGATTTATATGATGAATAAAGGGTGTAATGGAAACAATACGAGCAGCAGAAATCAGAACTTATTGTAATTGAATAGTTTGACTTCAGGCAATAAAACATATAACATAAATGTTATTTGGGAACTTGCTGAGCATTCAGCGATAACACGCCAGGTTGGGAAAAACATCATTCCTATAGCTGGTATAATTTAACATTATGCCTATATAACGTTGAATGATTTCCAATTTAAGCACGTTCGACTGATGCTTGCATCCTCTTGTTTGATATGGACCGATTGTGTTTTAAGACTGTACTGCTCATAATAAAAATAATTCAGTTAACATCATCATGCATTAAGCGGTGGATTACATGCATCATTCATAATTATAATTGCTTATAATAATGCACACATTACTATAATGTATGCTTTCTCCTACCTAGGCCTATGCCTTTTACTACAATTCATATTGATTTTAATGTGTGACCTTCTTTGCGGAACTATCATTGCATGTCGTCACTTGGTTTAAATAATATAGTCGCTAATGACCATAGGACTATGCTCTGCACTTGTTTTTTGCATATTTGGTAATGATTGAAATTGAAGCCGATCTCATTAAAATCAGCCATTCACATTCTGACTTTCTTGTTTCAGTTTGTTGCTTATTTACCTGCCATTACCTCAATAAATATTTTGAATGACAGTGGTCTAAATTAGTAACATACCTGAACGTCCTAGGCTTCAGTTAATTTTCTACGAACTATTCATGCACCAGTGTTAACTTGATGTAGGTTTTGGTAACTAGGGCAACCACCAGCGCTTGATATATCAATACCATTTTTTTTTCTTTTCAGACGCAAAGGACAGTTATAGACAATGCCGACGGCAATACTCGTCAAGAAATTAATTCGTAATGGAATTCAACAGCAGTTGAGAGTTGTTGTCGTAAGGGCTATCTTTCATACGCATATGTTGTAGGCATCTGTGCAGCCCAGGCTGCCAATGGCTACTATTTACCAAGTCTTACCAGTGCTATGGCATCGGCTGACACAAATAGTACATGTACGACGCCGATATCGGGCATTCGACCGTCGTTCCTGCACGAACAAACATTGGCTGCCTTACAGTCGAGTGACGTAGATGCGCACGTGCGTAACTTTGCACGCCATTTGCGCTCGGCAGGTATGGAGGATCAATGTCAGTTGCAGCAGCTACTGGATGCAATGGATGAGCTAGCAACAGTTAACATGATGAGGTACTGCCAAATTGTTCAGCGTCTCTCTGAAAAAATTCTGCAGTACAGCACACAATATCTTGTGAGCCGTGGACCACAGTTTACAACAGATGATCTTAAGGTTGACAATGTGCTTCGTATATTATGGATGTCTAGTTTATACAAGCCCGTTTCACGAAGGCTCTGTTATATGGATAATGAAATATTTCCAGTACTAAACCAAATTTGCTTGACTTGCTTAAATTGTTTGCAATTACAAAAGGACACGGAACCAACGACACCAGAGCTTGATTCACCAACAAGTGAGAATAGTTACAATCGCACGCAGGCGATCATGGTGTCAGCCCTCGCCCTTCTACACAACGCGTTAGCGTTTACTACAGATCCCCAGCACATTGCTGTATCTTGTCATTCTGGGCTTGTTAACACCATAACTAAACTAGTCACGGCAACAAAGAATATATTTGTCGCAGAGATCTGTTTAAAAATCATCGACTGTATCGCAGAAAGTGGAAACAGTGTTGCTGTAACGTCACTAAATGATTGTCGCGTTATGCGAGCTGCAAGTAGCATCTGGACCTATGTTGTCGCAGTTGATCCAACATTGAAATCAGGAATACATATTGCGGAACTCATTGCGAGAATAGGTGAAAATCTTAGAAGAGCCAAAGGATGTTATAAACGTTTTTATCCTGTCGGTTTTCCTGGGAAAAAGAGAGACCGACTGATTTATCGGAACCCTACCCTTAAAATGGTACACTGGTGCTCATGGAACGATTGTGGGAGGGTTGAAGACAGGAACAATCATCTAAAGGTTTGTTCAAGATGTATGTTATGTCGCTATTGTGACGAAAAATGTCAAAGAGCTCACTGGGAAAATGGTCATGATCTGGAGTGTTTCATTGTTAAAAAGCCGTCCTATCATTGATGACTCTTTAAAGAAATGGATCCTTATAAAGACATTGCTATACCCACCAATAAACTATTCCAGATGGTATGACGAACATAATTTTGAGTTTCACCATTTGTATACCACCAATATGCGTCTGGGAAATTTGTCCTATTATATATGGTTATACTACGAAATGCATTTCGTTGCTCAATTAATATGGTATTCATCATGAAGTGATTTGTTTTGGCATATAATGATTTTGTAAATGAAAATCGCGTAACCCCACGAGAATTAATCTTATATTAAAGCTATTACATTGTGGCCTTACCTTGAGTTAGCTAACTTACACCTTTAAATTATTTTTAAAAAAACGGCATTTTGAACATCTCTAGATTAAAATGACTGATTTTGTTTTCGAACTGACGTTCACAATAAATTTTCATCAACTGTATTATTTCTGGATTGAGATCAATAGGCCAATAATTTACTTTAGTATGGCTTTACAAACCTACAACAAACTGAGGTGTGGTACAGTATATACTGGGAGGGATTATGTGAATGTGTTCTTCCATTTCCATTATCAACCACTTATGGAAAGTGTGAAATTGAATGTCATAAGTGTTTATGTTATTGAAATTATAAATTATGAATGTTTTACTATCATATGTTGTTGTTACTGGATCACTATGATCAGTACAGGCTTGAAACACGATAATCAATCATTCATTCGATTCCTGGGATACTTGAAGTTTCAAAACCGTATCAAATAACCTTACAGTAATTAAGGTTTTGAAAATAGTCGTTAAGAGGCTACTTGTGGTTGCCTTTAATGACAACAATGGAACTCAAGTCTTTTATCAGATAATTCCTATCAACACATATTTCTGATGATGATGATGATGACATCATAAACTCATTAAATTCAGTTACCATGATACTACTTCATTTCTGACATCATAATTGCACCATATCATGTGTTTAATGGTGTTTTGTCGGGAGTTACGTCATCAGTTTCTGCAATTTGTTAACTTTGACATTGTGCATGTGACATCTGCCGTAATTACATGACTATATACTGTTCAATATATACGCAAAATAATCAAAACATCTGTTCAGAATATAGTGGCAATTTTTTTGAAAACAATTTGGGCATATTATTTTAGAGTACCGTAAATCTTCTTCACATGAACCAAACTCGCTATAAAACAGTAACTTTATTTTTAATCCAGAATAGAATCTCATATTTACGAAAGATAGTAACTAGAGAACATATCTATCACTTCATTAATATATAAATTTGGCTTCCATACTTTTTAAAAATATTATTTCAATAGAAATAACATGACAATAATACGCTATTTAATGGGGGAACCAATGAATATTTAAAGGATTGGATTACTATTATGATGGGTTGAAGGAAACAATACAAGTGAAAGAAGCATGAGCTTTCTAAAAACGCCCAATAGCATCATCAGGGTACATTAATAAAAAACCAGGCAATTTACAATAATGCTAACATATAAGTTAAGCATGAACGAGCGTCTCACAAAGGTTGTATAAAAGAAACCTACAGATTCACTACAGATTACGATTAAAAAATAAAAATAGAATAATGTATTATACAGCAATGTTCTAAATAGTAAATGTTTAGGATAATATTTCTTTGCTTTATTTTGCAGTGCGTGATGTTGATTGATGAGGTATAACTTATATAATTATGTTTGTCATTTATATATCATTTCGTACGATACAGAATCTTAACCTATAAATGACTCAAGACAGTCGTTTATAAATAGGCCTAATATATTTAAAGCTAATGTCCCCTTAACCTAATTCCGCATTCATCCATATATTCATGTTTAACTATAAACATCCTGATTTTTTTCTTCTTTTATCTGAGATGTAGCGCGTAAACTCACAGTAGTCTACGCGCAGCACTCCTGATAAGCATTAATGTATATGCGCGAAATGATTGAATTCATTAAAATGTTCAGAGGTTGAAGATCAGCAACATTTTCAAATTTCTTCTTGCAAATTTCAGGTAGTTGGGATGTTCTATACGAAAAAGAAACATTCCATAAACAATCGTCCAGTTTTTGAAAATGCTCACTTTTTCTAAAATTCTCCAATGAACTATTTTCACATGGAGAAAACTTTTCTTGAAAGAACTGTGAGCTCAAGATGAATTGATGTGTTATCTGATAATAATATCTAAAAATTGTGAAGTATGAACAAAATGTTAAATGCTCCTATAAACAGGAGGAGAACTGTGGCCTAAGTCAAACAAAGTATTAGATAGTTACACGTTATTGTTTAACTATTCATGAAGAACGTCAAACATTTGTGAAGAAAACTTAATCGTTTCCATCAATACCTTTCCTTGAGCAGTTTGTTTGTTATTAATTGATCAGTAAAGAAGTTCATTGATAAAGAGTATAAATTTAAATATTCATATATTCCAATCTTTCTTATGAATGTATATTTCAGCATATATTGACTTTGAATATGACGACATACAGTGCACCCTCTAACTCGAGACCCCACTAATTCCGATACCCCTCTAATTCTAGACCACTTTTCCAAAGGCCCAAATGACAATCTTCAACTTTTTAACACAAAGCTAGCCCTCTAATTGGAGACCAACACCGAGACCACCCTAAATTTTCAGGTCCCAAGGGTGGTCTCGAATTGAAGGGCGAACGGTATACTGCAACTATCACCTGGAGACATACAATTATATTAAATAATTTTACAACAAATGCTATTATATTTTTTCGGAATTAAAAATAAACTACAATATACAGTAGGCCTATATATATATCACTTGCGTGACGTTATACTTCCGATTTACATTTGTTTATTTATTGTTATGTTGATAAAACTTCCGTATAGATGCGTTGTCTGTTAACGGGATCTTCTGCTTTTCTGCATCTGTTTTAAATAACATATATTTATCTGTAATCTCTTCTAATATAATGCCTTAATTACAATCACGACATGCTCACTCCTTGCTAGTTTAAAATGAAACAAATTTCCTTATTAGGCCAACATAATTTGTGGCAAGTCTACAATAAATGATATTAATAAACAATTATTTACATTCAAAAGCGAATGACTTGCCACTTACATTGTATACATTTGATGTTCTATAAACTAAATCACATTAAAAGGCTTTGGAAGTGGAGTGGTATTAGTAATTAGAAATACAATTTTCGTTTTGACATAATTATGTAAAAACGTAGACATTGCAAGACTATCTTTCACGAGACCGCAACACGATGCTTTTTGCGCACCATGTTTTTAACCTAAAATCTATACCTCCACTTCTGTTTTCGATACGTTAAATCTCGCCTATATTCATAAAAATGCCATTGTGTGTGTGACGAAGACATTGCTACTTTGTTAGGTCTATGTATTCAACAGACGAATCTACTCACTTAAGCCTATTCCTCAACATAATCATTTAAGATGAAGAATAGGTACGGTAATCCTTTAAAACATCTTCCAATTAATCAACCCATAAGCCCTGATTATGAATTCATTACGTCTGCATATTCAATAAAAAGACAATAACAAGTATTAGGTTCATATTTTTTTTTCTCAAGGTGATCAATCCGATTAACAAATCGATTATCCAACAAAGCACTATAGACTTATCTATAGGAACAATATACTGAATATGATTCTTAATAAATTAATAAAAATGTTATAATTTTTCTTAGTGTTTTTTGTGTTATATGAATGCTCACGGAAATAATTCATTCGAACGCCTACGCGTCTAAACCAGATCATTATTTTAATGAAGTCTTAGCCGAAAGCTTGAATAAGAACGTACGATAAATTTTCAGAATATCATTTACATATTGTTAATGTAAGGTCACAATAATAAAGATAATATACGGATTAAGCCTAAATATAACAAAGACAAGGGTTTATATTTTAAGAAACTGTGAATTAATCGGCCAAATATCGAAAACCTTTCTCTTTCCCATCCCCATCTGCATGTTGCTGTTGGGCCATCGTCTCTGTTGTTACTCTGTGGATGAGTGCATACCTCTGCCCTGTGCCAGAGTGGCAAATAACACACACGGGGGCGTTTATGAGAAAGATCGACGATTCCATTATATTCTTTAATAATAGAGAGTTAAGTTTAAAGGAAATGTTTCGAATTTCCATGAATTTCACCTTTGACCTTTTCATCACATAATCACATCTTCCTTAGGCCTATATCTACACCATTGTATTATATCATGATCCATTCTTTGTTCTTGAGTAATCCTGCTAACAAACAGACAAACAGCAGTATATCCTAGCATAGGAGCGGCCTAATTGTGTGACTGTGTTGCGTTGTGGCCTCCGTTATCTTAAAAGAAAACACGCCTAATCCTCATCTCTCCTATTTTAGAACAATTGGGTTTGTGGGGCTAACATAGGCATAATCATCTGATCAAATTTTACCATTACCAATCTTCTTCTTTACAAGTTTTAATTAATAAACAAAGTGCTGTTTGGTAACAATGATATATAAACCACGCATTGTTGTCAATATTAGTGTGACTGAAGTCAGTTTGTGTTTTCGATTGCTTTCCCCGGCAATATACACAGGTATACACCAAAGAGAAATCACAGACAAAAAAAGTGATTTTTTTTGTCTTCTTGAAGGAAAATCAGAATTTACCTGAATGTATTATTTATCTATATCATATATCAAACTGCCTGTTCCAATTTATGTTTGTGTAATTTGTAAAAGTATTATCATTTTTTATGATGTTTATTAAAATTGCAATATATATGATTTAAATATATTGACGAAGCGTCTTTCTATTTTCTACGCCAATAGAAAAATAGGCGTATGCTATAAAGTCAGTCATAGAAGATTTGAACATTAGGTTTGAACAATTCAACCAATTACGTGTCATAATTCACTATTATTTTTATGCTATTTTGAATGATTTCAGTTAGAGTGTACTGGTAGTTCATAAGAACCAATTTCGAGATTTTGTTTGCTGATTGATGCAACCTAATATTTTGTGTATGATTTGATTTCTTTATAATATAATACTTAAACCCATGGAATACTGTATGCGGTACCGGTATTTAAAAGTACCGAAAAAGAATATATTCGATATTTTATCACATTTATTGAAATAAAAATATCTGGAACACAAGAGTCATGTCAACTACTTATTTGTAAACATAATCATATTATATGCAAGTTGAAGAACGGCAATTATTGTGCATGCTTATTGACGTATCAGATGAGAAGAGAAACATACACTCTCTTTGAATGATAAAAACAGCTTATTAATATGCGACCCTCTGCTTTTATAAATTTTTACTACAGCTACAATTGCGGTGGATATTAATATTCATGAGTTACCTCTGACGCATTTAAATCAATCCATTTTTCCTAAGGTATCGCCTTAAGTGAAGGTGTTTCTCCATACTAAAAGTTAATATGTCATTAATTATCATTCATTGCGTAGTATGCAATACTTGAGAAAATAACATGTCTTAATGGGAAAATTTCCGGGGAAGTACACCAATTGGCCACTTTAGTTGGTAGATAATCCAAACGGTAAATGGATGGTCTCGGGTTGCAATCCCAATAAAATCAATTAAGTACCATTTAACATGAAATATCCTAGGCCGAAAAGAAAAAAAAGTTTCTGTTTTCGTATTGTAGAGGGCGTCCTTAATTTCTTCAATCAACCCAAATTCTCTGGCCGACATGAAATTTTTGTTAATGGAATTAAGCAATATATTTGGATTTTTTTATTGCCATGCATCAACTTAATAGAGCATTAAAACATCAGATCCATAGAATTAAGTTCAATGGCGATAGTACTAAGTGACAGAGTTCACCATTACTACACTGAAATGAGAAATTTGACAATCTACCGTAACGCATAAATCCCTGGGCAATCAGTGAAAGGCAAGCCCGTATCCAGGGGAAAGGGTTACATCTGCAAATAGAAAAGTTCACGTTTTAAAATACAGAGAATGTGCTCAATTTCAAATTTGAATTTAAAAAACATTATTAGTCTAAAGATAGTCCTTCTGTATATATA